CTTAAGGACCTCAGGGAACCCTCAGTTTGACATGACTGTTCCACAACACCAATGACTTGTTGTGTGACGCTCCTTTCTGGCAACGCATGTCCCTAGATGGAGTTACCATTTGTTTTACATGACCAAAGACATTGTTAGAAGTCTTTGGTCCAAGCATGATGCTTTTTTTTCTGGTAATACATGTCCCTAGATGGAGCTGCTATATGTTCTACATAACCGATGACTTGAGCAACTCCATTCACATACCATATTCCCCCAAATAAAAGACACTTATTTTCCCAAAATATAGTTTCGAAAAAGAAAAAAATAACAGTGTGCGTCTTATACAATAGGAGTAAATTTGTATAAAATGATTCGTTTGAAAATATCCTGTACGGGGCCACATTTGGGCAAAACAAAAATAAATTAGAAAGGAAAAAAAAAAGAACAAAAAAGAAAATGAAGCTCTTTCTTGCTGTAACAGTTTTTGCGCTCGTTTTCATGCTCATTGTTTCACACTTGCTACATTAAGAATTCCTGTGTCCACCAAGATTTAACCATCTGATGCCAGCCTTAACAAACCTTTCAGAGTTTCCAGGAAAGATAAATGGAACCAATGGATGAAGTCTTCTGGGGACAATCTGACACCAGCAGGTGGTAGTACGACGAAATCAGCTGGAGGAGAAGTTTGTGCCTGTGAAAACTGTCAAGTCATTCAAGAAGTGTGGCATTTCAAACACCATAGACGAAATTGAGGATGAGGCAATATATGAAGACAGTGACTCGTCATCAGACACAGATAAGAACAAGCTAAAGAACTATTATATGATGAGAGTCTTGACAGAGATAAGAATTGTTCTGGATTCTGTGATGAATCAAATGTGAGTTCAATAACTTGATGTAATCATGCTTTTTCCTAAAAATTGTGGGTCCCAAAATCAAGGTGCATCTTTATCTTATACATGAATTAGGAAGAGTTTGGAGACAAGTGAGATGTGGGTCTTGACAAGAATGTTGCGAATACCTTGGACTGCCAGAATAACTAACAATGATTGCCTGGAAATGGCTAATGACAGTAGAACATTATATACAACAATGAGAAAGAGGCAAACAAAATTCTTTGGTCATGTGATGAGAAAAGGAGCACTGGCAAATTTTGTGATGACTGTAAAGATCACTAGAAGAAGAGGCAGAGGCAAAGAGAAATGATGGTGGATGGCTTAAGACAGTGGCATTGTGGAATATCATCAGTGGAATTGATTCAGAACACCAAAGACAGAGATCTGTGGAGTTGCGTGAACGCCTACGTCAGCTGGCAAGACATTTGATGATGACAATGATCTTATACATGAGAGTGTCTTAATACCTGGAGAAATATGGTAATTGTTACTGTATTTTATACTGAATGGCTCACACGATAAAATATCCAAACACAACAGTGGGTGTCCATGTCCACTACAGCCAATCTTCATGTTAAGTGCCCACTAATTCTCTTCCCCCCCCCACCCCCCCCCCCCCAGTATCCAGAAACCAGGAGTTAGACCCTTTGGCTCAGTACTATCGATATCGCAACCCTTTGGCCTTGATTCCATGACAGATACCGTAAATCTAGGAGAAATGTGCCTCTTCTGCCTACACCTGGGTGTGAACCCGGACCACAAGTTGTTCACCTGGTGGCCGGGTTGAGAGTTTTAACCAACTGCGCTAGCGAGCCAGACATCCCACTAATTTCAAGTGGCTTACAAGTTGTGAGCAGTTTCACAATTCTAATACACCTGGCCCTGAAGTCAAATGCCTGTGTGCCAGCAGACTGCTTTGTGCTGACATTGAAATGGTATGATTCCCATACCATATTCATCAAAACAACTGCCAAATAACTGACGGCAAAACTGCCTAGTGAGACCACACAACAGCCGTAAAAAAAAGCTGGTTTTTTGTTGTTGCAAAGTTGTATAAAGGATATGCAACTCAGAAAACTGTGATAAAGAAATCCAGAGACTTAAGAACGTACTGTGTCATAACATAAACAAGAAAACCAACCAATAACAGCTTTTTGTGATAACCGCATCTATATAACAAATATTGACACCTCCTGCTCCGACTACCCAATCCGCAACGGTTGAATTATCAAAATGTCTCCACAACTTTTCATGGGTTATCCTGAAGTGATTATCACAAAGCTGATTTCGTAACACAAACAATAATAACAACATATATCAAATTCAGCTTGCAATGAAACATAAGCTTCACAAACAACCAGTTTCATTAAATTAATTACAAGACCCAAAAAAAAAAAAAAAAACCAAAAAAAAAAAACACCACGACATTACATAGTAAATAAAGCACAAACTGCTGGTATAAGAAGAAGATAGGTCTCACTGACTGAATGATGAAAAACAAGACTTGTATGTTGTCCAACACCAATGAATTCCAACAAAAAAGAGCAGGCCAGAGCAGAGAAATTTTAATGATGCTGATATAAAGATCCCATGATGAAGTCCAAGAAAACATAACTGAACCTGAAGATAGACCCAGAAACGCTAATATAATGTAGTTAACTAGCATTGTTGAAAAAAAGAGCAGAACAATCCTAGTAAAGCCGATGCAGCAGTCGCTACACATGAAAAGGACATTTTCCACACCTTTAGGTGTTCTGGGCATATAGGGCTAGACCAATATTTTATAGACCAATAGGCAGTCTGTGGGTGATGTGGTCAACATTATGTCGACCGCCTTTACTTCCCAGGACTACCTGCTTCTCATTCAAGGCCTGGGACCAAGGTCAGTTGTGAAAAAAAAAAAAAAAAAAAAAAAAAAAAAGTCTGGCCCCATCAGGACTCAAACCCAGGACCGTCTGATCCGCAGGGGAGCATCTAGTCGCTACACCACAAGACTCTCCAGTCCAATGAAAAAGTCCAAGAAAAAAAAAAGAAGATGATAGACTTTGTAGTGCTTAATATAGCCACTTAATGGTGTTTAAAAAAAAAAAAAAAGTCCAAAGCAGAACAATCTAGGTAAAGGCGATAAAGCAGCCTCTAAACAGTACTGACCTATGGATGTGAGAGCTGGAAATCAACGAAAACTCTAGACACAAAATTAGACAGTTTTGAAAATAAATGCCTTAGAAGAATACTAAATTGCAAATGGTCAGATTTCCGAACCAATACACAAATAAGGCAAGAATCCAGGCAAGAGTATGTGTCTAATTTTATACAAAAACGCCGCTGGAACTATGTCGGCCACACCCTTAGAATGGATAAATCAAGACTTCCTTACCAAGCCCTCATTTGGACACCACAGGGGAAAAGATCTCGTGGAAGACCAAGGGAAACCCTACGTAGAACTATCATCAGGGAAGGCTCGCTCATGGGCCACTCAAACATCCAAGACCTACAACAGATTGCAACGAACCGCCATGCATGGAGAGTCATGACCTCTGCCCAATGTGCCGCACTCGACACAAGAGGAAAGACTAACTAACTAACTAAACAACTTGGCGAAGCGGTGAACCTCCATGAAAATATCTATGGCTCGATGCCTGCCCAGTAAGTTATTGTACTTCAACTGGCTGAGGAACACGGGTCAACAGGAAATACTCTGCAACATCAGTTATGTATTAGCAACATTATAAAAGTATACAGACAAATACTAATCACTGTCAATACTGTGATTAGTACACTATTTATTTGATCAAATAACATATCTGACATGGCATATCAGATATGTAATAAGATCTAACGGCTTCTCAAAAATGATACTTCAGGGCTCACTAGGGGAGAAGAGGCAGACCGAGAACGACCTGGATACAGAACTTAACTGACTGGACAGGCCTCAGGCAGGCAGGCAGGCAACCAGGAAGTCCACTGCATCAGACCGTCAAAGGTGGAGGGAGCTGATCAGTCAACAGCAACTGGTGACCCAACACCACACTGTGCTAGGGGATGATGACGGTGACACGGTAGAATGGACCCAGAAACAATACCGATTTTCTACACTGTATTTGGGAAGGCTTGTGTTTAGTTACTATTTATATCCTCTTCCTGTTGTTGACACTTAGGCTTTCACAAGTGTTTTTCATTGTTGTTAGGCTGCTGCTTTTCTCACTCCTTTATTTCCTTTTCTACTGTTGCTTTCCAGGTTTCGCTGGGTCGTCCATGTCTCTTTTTCCAGCTGCCTTACATTGGAGGACTGTCCTTGTTAAAGTGTCATAAGGAATTATGTAAACATGTTCAAGCCCCTTCTAAATTTAAGATGATTCAGAAAATATCTTTTAAAGGTTATTTTAATTGTTATCTAGTATTTAACGAACAAACCTGTTATCTTATTTAGGATTTAAACAGCTGTCTTATTTAGGTAACCTCCCTCCCTTTTTTTTGTTTAAACAGTAGAAGTTTAACTGCTCAGGTATTTACACAGTCAATGGAACACAGTTTTTGGATGAACTGACTGACTGACTGACTTTCTACCCCACCAGGACATCACACAAGCGATAAACACCCGATGACACAAAGTGCCACCATGCGGATGAGGATCGCCGTGGAGAGGTCCCAGAAACCGCGTTCAGACATTTGGCCATATGTATGGCCTGCCTATATTGCGGCCCCTGGCAAAAGCCAGAGTAGGGCTTCAAATGACAAAAAATTTCATCCTGAAAAGAACGAATCTGAATAATAATTGGATGAACTCATAGCACTAACATAGAAGTCTAAGATAAACAAACCACAAGAAATATTAACAGAATTTAGAATGGGAGCAAGAAAATCTGTGGACAGTATGAAAATGAACAATAGTATATAATAAACTCATAACAGTAATTTGTACATTAAAAACAAAACAAAAAAACCTGTTAGAACAAATGTGAACAGAACCATTAACAACATTCATATTACAAGAACATTTGTGAATACCAGAGTATGAGAGAACATATTTCATGTATAAACAATAGAACATATTGTGAGACTAAATATGAACTTGTAATTACGATGGGGGGGAAAACCATGAACTAAGAATGACAACAGTTGTTAAGATAGAGGCTGCTCGCAAGCAGAAGGGCTGGGTGATAACTTCAAGATTTCATCATGTATCGAACAAACATATGTTGCCACATCAACTTCTTCCACTTCAAATCTTTTGATGAATGGGTCTTCCTGCAGACAGAAAAAACAAAAAAGAATTGTGTCCATATTTTTAAATTCACTCAGGGAAACATTGTTTTGAAGTGTATTTACCGGTTCTTTATTAATATCCTACCCCAAATGACATCACAGGACAGTTCAACATTTTAGAGGGCGGTAAGACCGGGTTTCCCAGCTTTCTGATGCTTTAAAAGACCCCAAAACATCTAGAACTGGCCCTAACCCTAACCCACCTACGTCCCACGAAAGAGTGCAGCCTAGTTCCCACGACCGCATGCAGCCTATCTACCACCCCCTCAAATATTAGACTGTCTCCTGACCTGTGGATTTTCCCTGTTTGGAGTAGGATATTAATAAAGCACCTATTTTCCTATAAAAGGAGGTAACTGTAGTGAATGCAAGCACAATACTTTGTGCTATACTTATTCTTCTGCATTCTCCACATGTGGGTTCTAGGGCCCCATTGTAGGGAAAACAAGAACAGACCCACCACCTTCCCAACAAGCATGTCATAGGAGTAAATTAACAGGGGGGGGGGGGGGGAGAAAAAAAAAAAAAGGGGGGGGGGGGCATCCTTTGAATTTGAAGTCTATATCCATCTGAGAGGCAAGGAACCAAGTGTCTGCATACAAATAAATCAGAATCAGGTCTGTGAAAGGGATGTGCACGCAACACACAAGGTTCTGGGACAAAATTAAAATTCAAGTGTGGACGACACCCAGAACTTTCCGCTAGTCTACAGCCAGTGAACAAGAAGAAATTCTCTGCATTCACTCTTAAAAGGACACTTGGCACGTTGCATTGCGTCCATTCTATTTTATCTACCAATATGGTGCCCCAGAAAATCTCACTGGAAAAATCTGTTTATAACAACTATTATTTCCACAGGCATCTGTTATACCAGTATAACCACCAATAAAAGTATGAGGTAACAAATTCTAGATCAATTTAAATGCCAAAACATTCTTAAAGTTTTAACGAAAAATATGAAATACTGTATTTCCCTAAGTATAAAATGCACTTATTTTCCAAAAATATAGGGTCTAAAACCGGCGTGTGTCTCTACAGAATGGTAGTATACTATATTTCTCTCCAAACTTCTGGTCTCAAAATCAAAGTGCGTCTTACAGACTGGAGCATCTCATACTTGGGGAAATATGGTATATTTAAATTCCTTCACTAATGATGTGAATACTTACCAACAATTTGTTATATTTTGGTCGTTGTTTGTCCTCTTTCGTCAAACTATACAGAGAAGCAAAATTCAGTTAAAAATCATTATAGCTTTCCAACTATTAGATTACCTAGCGTCTTCTATCTTCTATTTCTTTCTTCTACTTCTATTTAACTGTTAAAAGTAATCACTAATAAACACACAAAAATTATTAATTTACATAAAAAAATTTTTTTTTAAATAAATATACTAAATGGGCTTAATTAGTAAACATGAATGGAGCAGAAAGAATTTAACAAACTGAACATTAAATAATTGTTTACCTTGGCTCATACCGGTAAAGGCTAAAGGCAAATTATGATATAATAATGACTAGGAAAGAAAAGCCAATTTTATCACGGTAACATCTCCCTCCCCGCCTCCTTGCAAAGTTATTTTTATCAAATATAATCATATCTGGCCCCTCTAAACACTGTGCAAGTGCAAAAAGTGCCAAAGCTAATATTTTGACATATTAGAGACTGGCAGTGACTGCAAAATCAGGATACTGGCTAAGTGGGGATGTGTAACAGATGGCAATGGCAAAATTCTGGCACCTAGGGATGAAAGAGTGAACTTGTTATATCCTCTATTGTGTCCTATAACCTACTTCTTTCTTCTATTACTTCAGGAAGGAAACCTTTTACAAGTCCATGCTTCAGTTTGACAGACTGACAAAAGAGGGGCGCCTAACTAGGCACAACACACAACTCAAAACCGAAAAAAAAGAAGAAATTAATTCACACAGCATGAATCACTTTGTAAAGAATGAATGAATTAATATCCATAAACTATGAGCGATGTCCTTACCATGTGTTGATGAAGTTGATGCACTCAGCGGAAAATCTGTTATCACTGGGTAACCTGGGCGCGGAGCCTTGTACTACCTGCTGTAACTGGTCAAATACACTCTGCCATTTTGGATAAGGGAACTTGCCAGTTGCTAACTCCATCTGTAAAGAATCATTAGTTAACCTCCTAGGCAACAAACATTCATCAACTCTTTAGCTGTGCCATTTAAATATTTTACAACGTTAGAAAAAAAAAATTGATTTACATACTAGTACATATTTAAAACTATGAGTGATTGTAATCTATAAAATGCATGTTACTGCTCTTTTTTACCCCACTTTTTGTCCATGTCCATTTATTAAAAAAAAAAAAAAAAAAAAATTACTGTGTTCAATCTACTGGAGGCAGTTTAGATTATTATTATGGTACTACTTTTAAGTTTTTCTGATAGCAGGATCGAAGAAGAAGAAAAAGAAGCTGAGTGTTTAAAGTGTTGAGCTCTTATGCAGGAGACCCAGGTCACGGCCTCAGTAAGGGATGGAGATTTTTCTCAAAGGCCAAAATACAAATCCTAACAAACACAGTTCAGGGTGATACATTTGCCACATGACTTTAAAACATCAGGCGCAAGATCATCCTGTCCTGTATCACTCTAAAAAGGGGTAATTACAAACAGTAACCCTTTTGCTTCGAGAAGGCGAAAACAACACTTTCAGACAGAGCCAAATTTCCTAGAAATGTCACTTTTGCAACTTGTCTATAGTGACCTGTTAACGAGACGCAGGAGTTAATGCTACTGCCTGAGTTCGTACCTGCGCAAACGTTTAGGAGGTCAAGATACGAATAAATTAACTCCTTCTTTTCTTTACTCCTGAAATAAAGTTCAGTATTGGTTCTGTGCCGATTCTCTTCATGATATCATCGTTCCTAAGTCGATCTTTCCTCGTTACACCTCGCATAGTGTATAAATTAACTAACAATAGCATTTAGGAGTTTTCCTTTGAGTCAAAAGCTTCTTTAAAGCCAAACTGCCCTAAGATTTTCCTGGAAGCCTCAGTGATAGAAGTCATGGTAGGACTCACCCAATAGTGTATTTTTTAGACCCAGGGGATGCACTTCATTTAATGCTTCACCCTGTTCAATTTTAGTAGTTTACTCCATATATCTTTACATATTTCAATAGATAATTTTAAAATGCAGATACATTTTAAATGATTTTATTGGTGACCTTTGTAAACAAATTTTCTTTTTTTCCCCTCGTCTTTTTCTGGAATTGTATTGGGGTCATGAAGTGTTCCTTGGGCGAAAGAGTTAAAGACACATACTACTGTAAAGTTTCTCTGATGCTATCATTCTACATTGTTCTTGGTCCACCTAAGGTTTTATGCCCCTCTCCTCTTTTCATGTATGCCTTGAATGGTAAGGCATCCCATGTCATTCTCTCTAAATGGCAAATCATTTTATTTGCTGTCTATGTATGTTTTTTAAGTCTTCCATCTATGCCGACTTTTTCTCTTATAACATCATTCCTAATTATTGCTTCTGGTCATTCCCACAGCCTTTCTCAAGCCCCTCAAATCCATGATTCAATCAGGTGCCGACTCCACAATGAATGAATGTCAAACACCTCAAACCATGATTCAATCAGGTGCCGACTCCACAACGAATGAATGTCAAACACCTCAAACCATGATTCAGTCAGGTGCCGACTCCACAATGAATGTCAAACACCTCAAACCATGATTCAATCATATGCCGACTCCACAATGAATGTCAAACACCGCAAACCATGATTCAATCAGGTGCCGACTCTACAACGAATGAATGTCAAACACCTTAAACCATGATTCAATCAGATGCCGACTCCACAATGAATGTCAAACACCTCAAACCATGATTCAATCAGATGCCGACTCCACAATGAATGTCAAACACCTCAAACCATGATTCAATCAGATGCCGACTCCACAATGAATGTCAAACACCTCAAACCATGATTCAATCAGGTGCTGACTCCACAATGAATGTCAAACACCTCAAACCATGATTCAATCAGGTGCCGACTCCACAATGAATGTCAAACACCTCAAACCATGATTCAATCAGGTGCCGACTCTACAACGAATGAATGTCAAACACCTTAAACCATGATTCAATCAGATGCTGACTCCACAATGAATGTCAAACACCTCAAACCATGATTCAATCAGATGCCGACTCCACAATGAATGTCAAACACCTCAAACCATGATTCAATCAGATGCCGACTCCACAATGAATGTCAAACACCTCAAACCATGATTCAATCAGGTGCTGACTCCACAATGAATGTCAAACACCTCAAACCATGATTCAATCAGGTGCCGACTCCACAATGAATGTCAAACACCTAAAACCATGATTCAATCAGGTGCCGACTCCACAATGAATGTCAAACACCTCAAACCATGATTCAATCAGATGCCGACTCCACAATGAATGTCAAACACCGCAAACCATGATTCAATCAGATGCCGACTCCACAATGAATGTCAAACACCGCAAACCATGATTCAATCAGGTGCCGACTCTACAACGAATGAATGTCAAACACCTAAAACCATGATTAAATCAGGTGCTGACTCCACAATGAAAGTTGGCTGCAATGAATTTCCAACAGACTAGGTCTCTTGTCTTTGTTGTATGCTCTCTTAGACTGCTGTTTGTCAATCTCTTGATAATGTCCTCCCACTTGTATCCTTGTCTACCTCTTGCTCTCGATGTTTCCCTCTACTACGGTTTTCTAAAAGCTTATTTTTTCTTTTAATGTGGCCAAAATATTTAAATTGTTTTTACCTCCCAGTAATTCTGTTTTCATTTGCAGTCTTTCCAGAACTCTGCAATTGACGCTTTTTGTTTCCACAACCTATCTGTTTGTATATCCACATTTTCAGATTCAATATGATTTTCTAGTAGCCCGTTCATTTCCATGATTACCATTTCGGTATTGTCGTGAGCGACTGTGTCAAGCACTAGTAGCATTAGGGGGTGGGTGGGAGGAATGAATTTGCTTTGTACGAGATGTTCAGTGAGTGGAACTGTACAGTTTTGACATAAATTAACCTTGCCTTTAGAATGGAGTGTAAAAAGTAAAGGGCCTTTCACCACACCTTCAGGCGTATTGGGTACACAGTGCTAGACCTATATTTTATTGACCAATCGGCATTCAGTGGGAGGTGTGGTCGACACCTGGTACCCAAATAAGGCTGGGCCGACCAGGAAGCCAAAATCATTTCTGAAAAAGTCTGGTTCTATTCGGATTTGAACCCAAATCTTCAGATCCACAGGTGAGCGGCTAGCTGCTATACCACAGAGGCTCTCACTGAGGAGTGCACCCAGGATCAAAGTAATTAGTATTTAACAGACAAGTACAATGACATCACAGCTTCCAACATTTGCATTACAATATACTGTCCAATATTCATACATTAGTAGTGTAATGACTCTAAAAGAATCTCTAATACTACTCACTAGCGTTATGCCAAGACTCCACACGTCTGATCTGACATCATAGCCGCGGCTGGAAGCTTTCGGATCAATTCTTTCAGGCTATGAATGAAATTTAAAATATAGTCAATTAACTGAGCGACCGATTACCCAGAATGCATTTCATACTTAAGGCAAACCTACAGATGTTAGGTCTTCTTAAAAAAATAAGTGTAGATAAATAACGTGAATCAAATTCGCCACCCTGTTATGCTGTTATACCTCACATCGGGGTTGCAGTCGATCCCCCATTTAGTTTTATTCATTAAAAATTTTATTGGGTATCATGTAAGGAGTCAAATTTGGTGTCTCTGGCCTCTGTCATCAATGTTCAGCGAAGGGTTTCTCTTTGGTGTCAGCGCTTCCCCTTTCAGCTCCATCTCAGAACGTCTTCAGTACATAACTGTCTTTGTTCTTATAAAAGTCAAACAGAACATAACTAATATAATTTTAAAAAATTGGGCTTGAATCACAAATACTGAGATCAGATGTAAAAGAAACAACACAAAATGCCCCTATAAACAAGCCACCTGGCCTCGATGACATTCCAGCTGAAATGGTCAAAGCTGCAAAAGAGGCTAAGAAGACTGACGGCACAGACTTCGAATTTAGTTTGGACCAAAAAAGAAACACCTGAAGATTGGAGAAACTCTACTGTTGTCCCGATTTGGAGAAAGGCAGCAAAAGAGACTGCACCACATACAGAGGAATATCTTTGTCAAGTCACACTGGGGAGATTGTTTGAAAAATTGTTAAGAAGTGTTTCTGGAGAGAACTCTTATAGAACAACCAGCAGCATGACGATGGAGGTAATGGCAGTGACGCAAGCGTTTGCCTGGCTTGAAACACAAAAATACACCCGCATATGTATACTCAGTGATTCAATGAGTATGATCCGGAGGGTTCAGGCAGGTTCAGTGAGAAGACAATGGCTTGAATCAATTCAGAAGTCCACTGTGCGAGGAGTCACCTTTATTTTTGTTCCGGGACACGCAGGCGTCGATGGAAATGAAAGAGCTGACAGGTTGGCTGGATCCGCTATCACTACCGACGGTCGGCCTATGGATCATGCTGATATTATCAATGCCCTCAGAGAAATGGGAAGGATAGAGGACTTTGGTGGCAGTGAATCCACATCACTCGCCAGAATGGCAGACTAGGGAATCAAGATCGGCACAGCAAAAAACGAGACTCACACCGGACACGTCAGAAGACTTGTTAATCAACATAGAACTGGTACTATTAGCCATCGGATGTTGGCGTTCATACTGAGGGGAGGATCTGAGCACCTATGGACATGTCCGGAGTGCAATGATGATAACCCAACTAACTAACTAACTAACTAACTCTTAAAGGGGTTGGAAGTACAGTTTCCGGATAATACATCCGAGGCAAACCTCTGCAAATGTGGCTACAGGACACTGAAGGTGCATTGGCTATGAAAGCACATAGAGCTGAAGAGCTGATTAAAGACAGACTTTCAGGCATGCTGTGAACATTCTAGGTCACATAATATGAGGTAGGGTGGTCAGCTGCCCACCATGTTGCCTTTAATTCTCAAACAATTTCTGAGAAATTCAGGGACATCATCTAGTGTTAATCTGTATAAGTTTGGGTCTAATAGAGTTACACTGAAAAGGAAACATCCTTTAAATTTCTGGGCTCTTAACAAAGAAAACTGTCTCTGCAGACAAGCATACTAATGTCTGTGCCAACAGTTCCTAACCTTTTTTCCAAGTGAAGATCCAATTTTACAGAGGCAAAGTGACCCATGACCTAATATATTATAAATGCCCGGCTTGCTAGCGTAGTTGGCTAAACCTCACTTCGCGGTGACCGGGTGACGAACTCCTTGTGGTCCGGGTTCACACCCAAGCCACATTTCTCCCAGTTTTACGGTATTTATCATGGAATCAAGGCCGAAGGGTTGCGATATCCATAGTACCGAGCCAAAGGGTTAACAACTCATGGTTTCTGAACATTGAAAAAAAAAAAAAAAAAAAACCTAATATAAATAGACTTTTACCTTCAAGTGGGTTCTGGGGGTTCCATTGCAGGGGGAAAAAAAGAACAGATCAAATGCTCTCATAAAAAGCATGTTGTAAAAGTCCACTAATTAGGGGTGCTTTCCTTCGAAGTCAGAGTACATCTGCCTGAGAGGCAGGGAACAAGCAGTCTGCTTACAAATAAACAAGCTCTGTAAAATGGATGAGCACGCAAAACTCAGATTCTGGAAACCGAACTACCGAAGTCGATGAACAATCAGAGCTTTCCGCTGGAGTTTAAAGCTGGTGAACACAAAGAAGAAGAGAAATAGGCTTTTTAACAGAGTTAATGAAAACACGGTTATATCAAAGAAGAAGAAGATAATTCCATGTTGTGATGTCTCAGTTGAAGGAAAAAGACTTAACCAAGTCAACAAATTTAAATATCTGGGAATAATAATATCAACAGACGGAACATGTGTGACAGAGATTAAAAGCAGAATAAGTCAAGCGAAAGCTGCATTTCAGAAAATGAAAAATATCTATGCAATAAATCGCTTTCATTTAATGTCAGAAAGAAGGTGCTAAAATATTACATAGGACCTTTCTGCTGTATGTCACTCAACAAATTAAGAAGAATTTGGAAGCAACAGAGTTGTGGTTTCTGAGAAGAATGTTACGAATACTTTGGACGGCCAGAGTAACGAACAATGATTGCTTGAAAGAGGCTAATGAAAGTAGATCTCTATATACAACAATAAGAAAGAGACAAACACTGTTCTTTGGCCACATAATGAGAAAAGAGACATTGGAGAACATCGTGACAACTGGAAAGATCAGTGGGAAAAGGGGTAGAGGTAGACCAAGAGAGAAGATGCTGGATAGGCTAAAACAATGGCATGGAGGAATATCATCGAGAGCTGTTTCGGGCAACCAGGGATCATGATCTCCACGGTGGAGACGCATGAGTGCCTACACCAGGTGGCAGGGCACATGATGATGATGATGAATGAAAACACATTGAAAATACTTATACTACTTTTCTTTGTGCAGGATGCAATCTTGTGATGTTTTTTGTTCTTGATTAAAAATATTTTTTAAAGCTTACCACTACCCAGGGATTAAACAGAAAAACCCTTCACAGTTGGAAATCTATGATCCTATTGTGACGATAGACAATTGACTGGTATATGCAATTTGTTGTACGTCTTTTCAGACAACACTGTTATACTGTGCTAGAGGGAGGCACAACCTATGGCAATGGTGAATGTCTCTAACAAGACCTGCACGTGTTAAGAAAAGTCTTGAAAAATAGAGCATGGGATTTCAGGACCACTGTTACCATTTCATGTGTTTAACATATCTCTGCCCACATGCCCAGTTCTGAATCTATCTGCAATCACTGTCTTCTTTATCACTCATTCCTTTTTGGAGTTTCTCTTCCATGCACCACCACATACTATTGCCATGAATCCACCTCAATACCTTGTACCATCCATCTCACACTTGCACATATCGTCACATCATAACTGAGGCTGACCACAACATCCTGTATCCACCGGTAACCCCCCCCCCCCCCCCCCCCCACACAGAGGATGCCCTTAGGGACGCTATGGTATATGCAACTACACAATCTTTGTTTTCAAACAATAATTTTATAACAAGCTTAATTCCCTGTGTGTGTTCCAGGGCCCTATTATAGGGAAAACAAGAATAGACCCCACTGCCTACCTAAAAGCAGGTCGTAAGAGTCGACTAATTGGGAGCTTGCTTCGAAGTCGGAGTGCATCTGCCTGAGAGGCAAGTAACCAGCAGTCTGCATACAAATGAGTCAGATCTGTCAAACAGATGCACACGCAACACTCAGGTTCTGGAACAGGACTGCAGTCCAGAAGTGGAGGACCAACCAGAACTTTTCGCCACAGATTACAGCTGTGACCATGAAGATGAAGAAGATAACAAGCTTAATTAAAGTGCTATATATATATATTTTAAAAAACATGCCTGGATTTTGTTTGCTTAAACACACTTACCGCCATGTATGGGCGACATCCAGCATCTCGACTTTTGGCAATTGAGTCCACTAAATGACCACTGATACCAAAGTCACACAGTTTAATGTTGCCCTTTCTGTCCAGCAGAATATTTGAGGGCTTCACATCTGATCAACACATCAAGTACATTTTTACAAAAGGGCATTTCTTGTTGAAATATGAGTAAATGACTTGTTGAATTATAAATAAATTATCTGAGTTTCAAAAGTAACATGATCATCATAGGCTTGCTTTCCTTCGAAGTCAGAGTGCATCTGCCTGAGAGGAGAGGAGCAAGCAGTCTGCTTACAAATAAGACAGTTCCGTAAAATGGATGAGCACATAAAACTCAGATTCTGGAAATCGACTTAAGTCCAGAACTGGATGACTAATTATTAGAACTTTCCACTGGAGTTTACAGCTGGTGAACACAAAGAAGAAGAGAAACAGGTTTTTACCCTTTCATGCCCCCCCCCCCTTTCTAAAAAAATCTGACCATCCTGAGACTGAACAACATCTTAGTCTGGATTGCAAGCTAGCTGGCAAATCCCTGATACCCTGTTCAAATTCCAAGGTAGTTATAATTGGGGCTCTTGTAGCAGCTAAACCAGCCAACTGCAATCCGAGGTTGTGTGCGGGTAAGGATGGCTATTGAAGAAACATGAAGATTTTGCACTTTATTTATAGTCCATGTTATGTGGCACTGGTGATCACGCCTGCTCAAAATTTCTGTCTCTTAATGTAATGTCAATCATTTCTGACACAAAAGTTCTCCAAAGCCAAGATGCTAAACTGTCTGACATCTTCTCTCTTGGTTTCAATCTGTGTCATGTTCCGTCGATCATTTCTGATATACTTCCAAGCCATTATGTCCAACATCTATCTTTGTTTCTCGAACGTTTTCAATTTTCACCCTCTCAAAACGTGCTCAAAGAGTGTCACTTCTTCTTCTCAAGCAGACAATCAGTTTTCAGACTGTTTTTAACCCACTATGTAAACCGTCTTTACTGCCTGTGTTTACCCACGCGATGGTGAAAAAGGGGGGGGGGGGGGGGGGGGGGCGTGAGCCTGAGGAATGAAGGCGGCATGGTTGTGGCACCACAAACTATACAGGTTAAGATCTGCATTTTGCCCCCAGCAGAAAAAAAAATATCTCCTTCATTACCAGTTAAAGCCCCCCCCCCCCCCCCCCCCCCCTTTTCCCCCCCTAAGGGTTCTAACCATTAGGCCAGCCACTCCACTATGTAACCACCATATATCAGCCCTTTACAAGACTATCTTATTTCAAATCAATGTGATATTTCACCAGCTACACTGACTGCTGCTATTTGTGATAACATGTTTTAGTTTTAACAAGCTAGCTGTAGTTTCTGTTTTAAAAAGCTGTGACATAACCAACGACTTCTTTTTCTTCATTTTCTCCACATTTATCGGCTGTAAACTCCAGCAGAAAGTTCAGGATGTTCAACCACTTCTGGACTTTAGTTTTGTTCTAGTACTTGAGTTCTGCGTGTACATCCATTTTACAGATGTGGCTTTTTGTGTGTGCAGACTATTCGTTCCTCATTTCTCAGGCATATGCACTCTTGACTTTGAAGGATACACCCCTAAGTAGTCTACTTGTACGACATACTCGTTAGGGAAATGGGTGGTCTATTCCATTTTCTCCCCCATAATGGGGTAGTAAAACCCAAACTGGACTAAGTGTTGAGCTGAGAAACGACATCACAACACTCTGGACATTCCCATAAATGCTCCATCATCTCCAGCAACCAACAAAAATTTCCATTTCGGATGGTAACAGAACAGTTTCATTATACGTGTCTTGCTTTTCCTCTGAAATTTCTGGGATAACTGATGACAGAGAGTAATTATTTTAATTACTAAGACATGTATTACAAATATCTGGGCCAGAAAGTATTCTTAAAATGTGTGGTCTACGCAGCAAACAAAAAATTAAAACAAAAATTAAGTCAGGTCAGTGGCTTCAAGCACAATAAAATAAAAAAATTATATTTGGTTGTATCTATATTTCCAGAACAAACAGGATAATGACACTGAGATATTATGCTGTCCAGGTTGTTGACAATTGAGCAACATATTTGTTAAATCTCACTTTGTATTTCTAGATGACAACACCAATATTTCACAAGCTACTAGCTGTTCTTACCTCTGTGTATGATTTTCAATTTTTCTTTCAGGTAATTCAAAGCCTTGACCGTCTGTTTACAAAATAAAATAAAAGAAAAATCAAGGAAAAAAAAAACCAAACAAAAAAAAATGCACATTTGGCTAAATTAGATATTCTTCTATAACTTCTTCTCCATATAATTTTCTGATGCTTGTTTCAAAGACTTGACCCTGGAGTACATTGTCATGAAATTAGTGTACACGCTGCATGAACAGTATAGCCATGATTGCAATAAAACCTCACATTTTCAAAAATTATAAAATCTCTCTAACGGGCAGACCTGACAGAATGAAAGTTAATAGTAATTAATTAATACCTTTTTTCCCTCCAATTATAAACAAACAATGACAGATATTTATCTGTGAATTAAATGCGTGATAAGTATCAGTTAAAAACAAAAAGCATGGATGCCCATTTGAGTTGCAGGCATAACTGGTTGACCAAATTGCAAAATTTATTGTCATGTGATGGGCTGAAGATTATCACTTCTGCCTATACAGAAAACCACAAACTACTACTGGTGTACATGAGTCGCTGTGGCGTAGTGGCTAGACGCTCGCGTGCGGATCAGAAGGTCGTGGGTTCGCTTTCTGGTGGAGCCAGACTTTAAAAAAAAAAAAAATGACCTTGACTCCCATGTCAACCTAGCCTTGAGTGGGGACCAGGTGCAGTGTTGGGAAGTAAAGGCGGCCGACGTGATGCTGACCACATCACCCATCGCATGCCGACTCGTCTATAAAAATATAGGTCTATCCAATTATGACCTATACGCCTAAAGGCGTGAAAAGGGGACCTTTACTTTTTTACTACAGGTGTACTGCATTTCTAACTGTATCCTGTACTGGTAGGAAATTATCTGTGTGCGTTCACTCAATAAAATGTTGGATTACAAATCATTTAACAATGGGCAAATATATTGATGACATCAGGAACGGATCAAGGAGAAGTCTAACTAAAATAAAACAAATTAAAGTAACAGATCCGTTTATTTAGGTAGCAATTTTGATTTCTAAGGAAACACAAAGAAAGAAATTATGATTGGCAAGGAAGCAGCAGCCTTTAAAAGCCTTAATGAAAAAACCAAACTCTAAATGATATAGTACCAAGTCATGTATTTTCAATTACAATGTTACTTCAGTTTTAATATATGCCAGTGACAATTGGAAACCACTAGAGAGATGAATGCTTTTGAAAATAAATTCCACAGAAAACTGATGAATTCTAAATGGGACAAATTCAAAAAAGGTAATAAAATAAGAGAAATGCTTGGACAATCGCTGGTAGTTAAAGAATTGGACCTTGTCATATACATCACAAATAATATCTTCTTCATCTTCGTTTCAGCAAAGGGTTTTGAAGAGGCATCGGGTGAAAGTATAGGTACGAAGGTGCTCATATATACAGCCTCAAATATTCCATCTATCAATTGCTTGCGTGGTCAATATCTGGGTCTGCTTCCATTACATCTTCTTCTTCATTGCATTCACCGGCTGTAAACTCCAACAGAAAGTTCTGGTTATTCATCCACCTCTGGACTTTAGACTTGTTCCAGAACCTTAGTGTTGCGTGCACATTCATTTTATAAATCTGACTTATCTGTATGCAGACTGCTGGTTCCTTGCCTTTCAGGCAGATGTACTCCGACTTGGAAGTCAGTCCCCAATTAGTCGAGTTCTACAACATGCTACTGGGCAGGCACTGAGTCTATTCTTGTTTTCTCTACAACAGTGTTCCGGAACCCACACGGGAACCATTATGTCCAAGTGACAGGGCTTTTTGTGTTGCACTGCCTGAAGCTAGTCCTGACACATGGTCAAATCATCTGATTAGTTGCCTCTTCTTCTTTTCTCTACTCCTGGAATGCCTCGAGGCGTCACAGCTTCTTGATCAAGTTTAACACTGGTTCCATGCCAACTTCTTTCCGGATTTCATTATTTCTAGTTAGAAGTTATATCTAAAATGTATTAAAGAAGTGAAGAGTCACTTACTGCCACTGTGATCTTGCCCAAAATATTCTCAGGAATGAATGTACCCAAATGACCATAAACAAATTTGTAAAACTTGTCTAGAGAGATATCCATTAGCTCCATACAGATCCAGCAGTCACCCTGCCGGAAACATAAAACACGTAAATTTTACAATTATACAGGAAGAAACGTGTAATGACCCCTTCTGTCATTTAGCACACTGGGCAAATTATACTAGACTTCTATGTTCCCCATGTGTGCTCCTGGTCCCCACTGTAAAAAACAATAATAAGCACATCCTAAATGAAAACTGATTAGGAGTGTTTCCTTCAACGCCAGAGAGCATCTGTTGAGAGGTGAGGAACCAACCGTCTGCATGCAAATAAGCCAGACCTGTAAAATGGATGTGCTCGCACAATATAAGTTCTGGATGAAGACTTAAATCCAGAAGTGGATGAACAGCCAGAACTTTCTGCTGAAGTTTACAGTCAGTGGATTCGAAGAAGAAGAAGAAGAAAAAGAAGAAGACTTATATGGGTACAGAGAAATGGCACGTAGTAAGGAGGTCAACATTACTCTGACCAGCCTAAACTTCCTAGGATAGTCTGTGGTATCCATTTTAACCTGGGTGAACTGGAAGCTCAGTTCAATTACAAAACTCTGCCTCAGGGTGAATTCAAACCTAAGACCTTTAGGCCAGCAGGCAAGTGTCTAGATTACAGTCAACCAACAAACAGGGGATTGAACTGCCCTCACAGTTTCAACCCATACACCCCAGTTATGGCCCCTGATACTCCACAGGGTGGCATTTATTCCCCCAGCTATCCACACGTGCGGTCATTCTGCTGAAACAACCGACCTGGCCGCATCGTGATACCAGCTAAGTGATTTTTTGATTCTATGTAGTATTATTTATTTTGTGTGTGCTGACGAAGGCTCAATAGCCGCAACGTTGACGTTTTGTATTTGTTATATTGTGAAGCTTGCTAATATACTTTTCATTCGGGTTTATATTTTTACCAACAAACAAAGAAGTGTAATTAAAAATAAATAGTAAGAAGTCAAGGCCCCATACTGTGACTGGGGGTTTAATCTCTCTCCAGAAGAAAATTCAACACAATGGCTAGGAAAACACATGTAATTCTAAAATGTCTCAACCTTGAATCACTTGTTGCTAACAGAGTACAGCAACCACTACGAGATAACTGATACAAACAAATACAGAAACCCGACAACCCAGCCAGGCCGACTGTGTCTTCCTGGGTTTGTCCCACAGAGTACTTCTGCCACAGAGTTCTTCTGCATATATTCCTGCTCCTAGTTGCTGGTCTCCCTTCCTACCATGCTTTCTCCATGTATCAGTCAGTTCAGTTCACCGCTCCTTCTAAGTATCACATCTTCATCTCAGATCTTCTTGGCATCTATTTCTCACTTTGACAGTCCCCAAACTCAGTAACTCTTTCTAGATCACTGTCAGTCCAGCTAAAGCCAGCGATTCCTTAGTATGCCTGGCTAAGCTAGTGCTCACATTAAACTCTTTGGACTTCAATTTAACTACTTCGACTAGACCAGTAAATATGGTCATCCAGATGGGACCTAGCTATCTAAAACATCAGATTCATCAATTCACTGGCAGGCTCCTCAAGCACTAGAGGAAATATACTGATGACTGCATCAGTGTCTTTGATAGGCTTCTTTATGAACTGCAGGACTTACTGATTTGTTCAACCAACTTTCACCCAAGCATTCGACTCAATTCCAGCATTTCACCGTTGTCTGTGCATTTTTGGGATTTCCCTGTCACCTTGGTTCTAAAACCCTCAGTACCTTAGTATAATATAAGCCTACTGATTCCCATGCTTTTCTACTGTATACATCCTCCCATCCTTGTGCATGCAAGGACCCTATTTCTTTCTCTCAACTTCTACACCTCTGTAGACTGTGTCAGGAGAATGAAGACTTCCATCATAGGGTCCTGGAAATGCTTCTAGATTCAAAATTATCCTGAACGTATCTTTTCTGCTGCCTTTCATCACTCAATGTCTTAACAGTCATGCTGGGGCCCTTTCTTCCAAGCCTTAACATCACCACAACAGGCCTATCCTCTCACCTAACTACCACCCTAAGAACATCCACGTCAAAAACAATCACTTCAGGCACCTCTCCATCCCACAGCTGACGCTGTCATCAGCACAGTTTTCCCTGAACTTCCTCCACTGGCCTAAAGACAGGACTATAGCCTTAGGGATGTTATAGTCAAAAGTCGGTTATATCTCATGGTGCTTTTTAATATCCTACCCCAGATGACGACACATGACAGTCCAACATTTTAGAGGGTGGTAAGACTGGGTTTTCCAGCTTCCTGATACTTTTAACGACCTCAAAACATCTAGAACTGGCCCTAACCCCAACCTACCTACGTCCCACGAGAGAATACAGCCTAGGTCCCACGACTGCATGCAGGTAGATGCAAGTAGTCTTGTATTCCCTAATGCCACTCTGTACATACTTAAATGATTCTATTATATGAGCTGCAATGTAATTTAAACCATCATCTGCAAAACATATGAAGTACATCAGTGAAACAGAGCTACTGCTATGCCCAGGCAACATCTCAAGAGCAGTGACCTCAAACTGACTGCCCACATCAGAGAGGGACAATCTACATTCTTTGGTCATATGAGAAAGAGAAAACTGGAGTACATCATATCAGTAAGAAAGTTGGAGGGGAGGAGAGGCAGAGGGAGACAGAGAGAAAAGATAGTTTGGCATCATGGCATGGAGGGTCATCTGTGTCAGAGTTGATTGAAAATACACAAGACAGAAGATAGACATGACTACCAACGCCTGACGGCATAGACTTTCAGAAGCAACAGAAGACTGTGAAGCTAACTAGTTGTACTTCTCATCTGGTGTGATTTCTTTTCATGGTATGAAAAAAAAAAAAAAAAACCAACTAAAGTTGGAAGTCAAAGCAGCCACTAAGGAAGACAACAAACAAACTTAATCCTTACCTCTTTAAATAATGCCCCATAAAACTGTACAATATATGGGCACTCATTGCTTCTCATGACCACATCCAAATCCATCAACAGCTGCTTCTGGTCTCTTTCTTCTACCGTTGACCTGATTCTCTGAAAATATAGGACAGGGTCGCATATTTCAGTACACCAGCTCTAGATAAAGCTACATCAAACCATGATGCTTAAACTTTATACTAGCTCTTGCTGAAGTCTGTAGCAGATTTACATAAAAAACACAGCTGATGAAATTCAGTGATGTATTTTAAGAACAACAGTTCAAACAGATCACAAGTATAAGGTAAAAGTATTCTTCTTTTCTTTACCCAGCTACTTCAGTGTGAAGTTCTGTGTGTGACAGGGCAGTGAAAAGTTGTAAAGCCAACAGGAGAAACAGTGAGAATGTGTACTACATATATTATCACAACTGCAACAGCATAACAAAACCCATTCCTGTAAAGAAGGTGGAAAGTACAACTTAAATATCTAATTGCACACACACACACACAAATTTAAAAAATAACCAAATTATCTGACACAATACTAGACAAGATATATATCTCATTTATAACCCAGAGAGGTCGACTTATATACTGGTCTTTTACTTACTTATAATAGAGGCCTGATAGAGACAGGAGCACCTTGTCTGTGTTGAACTCTTTTGCCCCAAGAAGCCTAAATCTAGTCATTTCCGGCTGTGTTTCAAACCGTAAATGTGGTAATATGGCTAAGTCTGCAATGACCTTTTCTCAAACAGCCTAGTTAATTCTGTGTGCGTCGGTGTGTGTGTTTGTATGGATCTTTTTGTGCGGCTATGTGTGTGTATGTATGTGTATCTGTTTGTGTCTGTATGTGTCTGGGTTGTATGCGTGTGTTTTAGAGCGTGTGACTGTGTATGAGAGAGTGTGTGTATATATGTGTGTATGTGCGCGTTTGTATGTATGTGGGTGTATGTGTGTATTGGGTGCCTATGTGTGTAAGTGAGTGAATGTGTTCGCGTGCGAGCGTGCGCACATATTTTACAACCCATGCTTTTATTTTTGACTTGATATTCATAATATGCATAGTATTACATGAACATAACATGCTTTATTAATGAGATCCAACTGCTGTGTCAAAGATGGGAGTTTAAAAGGGCTGAATGTAAGACAGGCCTGCATGCTTAATTTGTAACCCTTTGAAAATAATGTTCGTTTGTTCGTTCATTGGTCAAATGTGAACCTGCGTGGCGTTTAATAGGCCAGGATATAAATATAGTAACTAAAAAAGGCATTTACAGGATTTACAGGGGTTCCCTTATAACCCCAATGGCTTGTTGACAGCCAAGTTTATGTCAAATTTTCTCGCACCCTTTTTTACTTTTTTTTTTTTTAGAAATAAAGAAAAATGTACATATATTTTTTTTTAAACTTAGTAATTTGGTTGCTTTTTAAAGGATTGTTTCCTGGAAATTGATATGGGTTCATGGCCTATTTTTTAAAGCATTCACAAGATGAAAGGGTTAATAAACATGTCTTTCTACAACCATCATTCCCCAGGAAGCAAATCTGCTAAATCAGTAACAAATCTCAAACTCAGGTATAGACAGCATTTGGAAGTTACACTTAACCTTCATCACCTGGATCTACATACCCAGGTATTCTTAGTAAAAAATAACAAACAAGTAGAACAATGACACATATGCACCACTGTAGGAAGGAAAATGCATGGCAAAGCTGATATAGGACTAGACTGATAGATAATGACAAATCTCTGATGCTAAGACAATAAAATGACGTCAAAGTGAAGTCTGGATTATAGGAGAAAGTGTACCAACTTCTCATGGGAACAATCAATAGAAATATACCTTGTGGTGACTGCTGCATTGGAGGACTCAGCCCATATGGGAAATGCCCAATGTGAAAATGATACGACTGTGATAACATAACATTCTATTGGCTTTAATTGCATGTAACCACTGATTTGTGTTCTAAAACAGCAACCTTTCTATATGTCCATGAACACCAGCACAGACTGAACAGAACAGCCATTTTATCTCTTTAGATTCCCAATGAACCTCTAGCAAGCATGTCTGAACAGTTGATAAATGAGGGGTGTTTCTTTCAAAAGTTAGAGTGCGTCCGCCTGAGTGGCAAGGAACCAACAGTCGGCATACAAATAAGCCAGATCTGTAAAAGAGATGTGCAAGCAAAACTCAAGTTTTGAAACGAGACTGAATTACAGAAGTAGACTAGCAACCAGAACTTTAGCTGGAGTTTACGGTCAGTGAATGCAAAGAAGAAGGTATTTCTCATAGATGGGATGACTGTGTTAACCATTCATCCAGAACTATCCAGACTCTAACCTTCACTTAGAATTAAATGGTGTAACAGCTTCACTATTACGGAGCCTGAGGAGAGCATTAAACAAACTGCAAGAGGTGTGAATAAGATGGTGGTGCTGGATAGGACAAACAATGAAGGGACACAACAACTGATGTATAATAAGAAAATCCTTGCACTGGAACCAAAAGAGACTGAAAGACACAGTGAACAGAATTACCACATTTTTCAGTGTACAAGATGCCCCATTTCCTAAAGCCCAAAATTTCAAAAAAAAAAATGTTTTAAACACATTTCGTACACAACACGGCTCCCAATTTTAAACTTTCAAACTTAAACATTTGGGAGTAGTTACAGTTTTATACACGGGGGGGGGGAAAAAAATGGCACTGATATATATGAAGTGTATATATATATGATATATATGGAGTAGGTTTCCATGAGACAGCAAAAGACAGAGCTTGGCTTTCTTGCAGTCCAGGACCTCATTTGTTTTTTGAGAGGAAAAAAAAAAAAAAAAGAATGGAAAAAAAAAAAGAATCACCCACTGCCCCTAAAAAGCATTTTGTAAAAGGCGACTAATTAGGGCTTTGCTAAAATCAGATGTGTCTGGCTGAAGGTGCAGATATTGCAGCCTAGCAATAAATCCCAACAAATCATATAACTCCCCCCCCCCCCCCCCCCCCCCCCCCGTTAAGAGTGAACGCATAAGATGGAGACAGCTTTGAGTTTGTCAAGTCCTATACTTCTAATGGGGTATGATAGAAGAAGAACCTTCAGTTTACTAAAATATCACAAAATTCAGAACCCTTTTAACTACTCAACTGAACTATGATGTATGGACACAAACATACCTTGACTGCCATAATTGTGCCACTTTTCTCATGGATCATCTTGTTAACAAAACCATAGTTTCCTCGACCCATTTCTCCCAGATCTCTCAAGTCCTCTGAGGTGAATTCAAAAGACTGCAGAAGGAGATATGAAATTCACAGTTGAACAATATTGCTTACATACACATATGGAATTTCTTGCAATGTAGATTTCGCTTAAACGAGCAATAAAACAGACTACATGTGTTTACACTCATACAGGAAGAAAATGAGCAGGAGTGAAAGAGAAGGAAGGAGATGGACAGAAAGAAATTAAGGGCTTGTGAGGGAGACGCACAGAGAGTAAACATAGGTATGAATGCACAGATGAATAGATTGATGGATGGATAGCTGGGCAGACAGATATAGCATTAATATGACAATTTATCACACATAAATTATGATTACATTCAATGTATTTATTATTATATTTACTTAATTTACTATAAAAATGTTAAATGTACAGTGAGTGTATGAAAGGGGAGTGGTGCAAATGGAAGAACAAAAACAGGCATGCCAAGTCTTAACCCTTTAAAATAAATTGTCAGAGTGATGCACACTCATCTTACTTCTTCTGGGGAAATCTGTAGCTTGCCTGTAGAGCGCTGTATACCACGAGACCGCAATCTCTCTCTGAAAATAAAAACATTGATCAGATCTCAATTTATTCATACAGATGGTAACAGAAAAAAATATATACTAAGTGAGAGAGATAGAGAGGGGGGGGAGGAAGAGGGAAGAAGTGAGGGGGAGATAGGTGCAACTGAGTACCTCTTTAACTCATTAACTGAACATTAACAAGAGGGGTTTGGCGTAGACAAGTATTTCTATTAACCTAGACCCTAAATTCCACAAGGATCATCACTGCATATCTGAGCAAGACCTCGAGCCAATTACACACATTTTGGTTTTCCTCCAGATAGCTTGTTTTGGCAGTTGTAGAATTTTCCAGAGAAGCTCAAAATCAGTTGAAATCGCAGAAAATGATGTAGTATAAACCCTAGTTCACCCTAGAACAACCCAACACTTTGGAACAAATACCAGCCAACCAGCTAGGCAACTAACTAGTTGTTCCTAAGGACTTCCTCTATGGTGACAGGTAAAAGATGACAAGGTTGGCCTCTACTATGATATAACAATATGTGCAAGTGGGACACAAATGATAAAGGTACTGAGGTAGATTCGTGGGAACATACTGCCATGGACCAAGTAGCATGGAAGGGGCAATTAAGAGGTGAATGAGAATGAAGGAAAGGATAACAGCCGATCGTCTGAGAAGAAACACACCAAATACATAGGATACCAACAACGGTCCTGAAATCATAAGCTCTAATTGCGGAAGACTTTTCTTGACGCAGGGAGGTCTTGCTAGTCATGTTTGCTATCACCATGGGCTGTGAGTTCCATGCCTCCTTATAACATAAAATATAATACTATAGTCTGGAAAGAAAGAAAGGCGCAAACAACCAGTAGAAGGAGAGAGGGACAGCAGAGAGATATCTAGGGTCTTGGCAGACCCTTTGAAAAATGAAATGAGATGTGCAAGCAAAACTCAAGTTCTGGAACAAGACTAAACTACAGAAGTAGACTAACAACCAGTAGACTAACAACCAGAACTTTAGCTGGAGTTTAAGGTCAGTGAATGCAAAGAAGAAGGGATTTCTTGTAGATGGGAAAAACACAGAAATCATAGCCTAACTGTAAACCACAACATAATATGTTCTGCACCATACACACATTACCATATTAAAAAAGTAAAAGAATTTAAATTATGAACCTCTTTTTACAGTCCATGTCTTCTTGCACTGGTAATTATGTCTGTACACTGCCATGTATTTTCTCTTGGCCTCCTCCGGCTGTCTTTTCCTTTAACATTCCTGTTGCCACAATATACTCCAGTTCTCCCCTTCTCATAACATGCCCAAAGAATGTGGATTTTTTTTTTAAGGATGCAGATTGTTTCCTTAGTGAGTTTAACCACTATCAAGAATGTTTAATATGCCCTTAACCATGTGGCAAGGAGAAGCTGCAGAACTGAAACTTCAGCCTGGATCCAACTCTCTGTAAATGTCCTTTTCCCGTCTGTTTCTATTGTGATGTGCTTACGATGTACACACTGGCTGACGTAACGCCTGAGCAGCATTCATGGGGGGGGGGGGGGGAGAAGCATTTAGGGGCTTCTTTGTGAACTAAATGCATTTTAAAAATCTTTCACACCATAAACTTTCCATAGCCTTAAAGGTCATGACATGGGTCATTCGATACATATTTTTATACCCCAGTGAATTTATTCCATTTAATATTTCACCCTACCATGTTTATTGATTACTCCTTACCTTTATATATTTTGAAAGAAAACAACAAATAATTACAGGTAAATAAATTTTTGTCAACCCCCCCCCCCCCCCCCCCCCCCCCGAATTCCCATGGGGTCATGACACCTTTTTTCTAACCTTTCCAAGGTGACAGGGTTAATATACCCATGGTGTTCTGTGCATTCATCTGCAATACTACAAGACTACAAACCCTCAGCTTCCATTCAATTTTCTCTAATAAGTTAATGAAAAAGAATTTAAAAAATAAATAAATTCATGAATGAATGAAAAGATACAATGTGCAATCTTACATCTGAGTTGTGCGACCATGATATGCTAGGATGGAGTTTGATGGTGATGCCTGTTTTATGCTGTTCTGGGATGGACTGGAGCTAGATCAATGTTAGAATTAATAGACACAGATAAAGAATATGTTCGATGGATTAAAAATGGCATATGATAGTGTGGTACCAGGGGCAGTCCTGAGAAGTAAAGGTGGCCTGCGGGATGTTGACGTCCCCCACCAAGTGCTGATTGGTCTATAAAATATAGGTCTAGCCCTATATGCCCAATGCTCCCAAAAGCGCCGAAAAGGGGCCCTTCACCTTTTTGTGTGTGCATATACAATAGTGTTTTACACAGAAACAGTTTGTAGAATGCTTTGCAGGACTCTGGAATACCAAAGAAGTTAACATGACTAAACTATGTATGGAAGACACATATCATATATTAACATATAAAAGCAAAAAGTCAACTTTTTTCAAATAACATCTGGATTAAAGCAAGATGTCCTGTCCACACTTATTTCAACTTGGTCTAGAGAAAATTATAAGGAAGGTGAAAGACCGACTGTAGTATAGGAGAAACCACAATAATGCTTGGCTTCGCAGACAACATTGGACAGAATGAACTAGAGACGGTAAAAACACTCACTTAAAGGAATAATCTCAGAAATGAGATTAGTTATCAATCAAGAAAAGAGATAATACACAGTAATAGAAAGACCCAGAAAAGGATAAAAACTTCGGCTATATACAAATAAATAATTCTAAAAATCAAATGAACGGAAAATAACAAGTAAGGGGAACAAAATGCAATTCCTCCGATATACTAGGACCATGAATACAACAAATAAGAAGTGTTCATTTAAAAGCCATTCGTGCCACACTTCATGTAACTGTGTGTGATGAACATGATCATGTCATAGTCATGTAATAAGTACTGAAAAATGAATAAATGGGAAAAAACCCACAGCTTCCATACAATTTCACCTAATAAGTTATGATCATAGGAAAATAAAACAAAATTTATAAATGAGTGAATCAAAAGATACAGTGTACAACAGTAACATCTTACATCTGAGTTGTGCGACCGTGATCTGCTAGGATGGGGTTTGATGGTGATGCCTGTTTTATGCTGTTCAGAGATGGACTGGAGCTAGATCAATGTTGGAATGAATAGATACAGGTAAAGAAAATGTTTCTTTGGATTATAAAAAAAGGCATATGCTAGTGTACATAGAAACAGTTTGTATAATGCTATACAAAACTTTGGAATACCAAAGAACTTATGACCAGAGTGTGTATGGAAGACATTCATAATATTGTAACATATAAAGGCAGAAAGTCCCTTCTACAAATAACATGGTTAATGCAAAATGATGCCTTGTCCACACTTCATTTCAACTTGTCCCTAGAGAAAATGATAAGGAAGGTGAAAGAAACGTAAAGAAGAAACTACAAGAACACTTAGCAAAGCAGATAAAATCTGTTGGAGAAAATGAACTAGAAGCAGTGAAAACAACCAATTTAAGGATAGGTTAAAAAAAAATTGGACTAGTTATCAGTAAAGAATAGACAGAATATATGGTAACAGAATATACAGGAAAAGGATTACAAACTCAAGCCACATAAAAATAGATAACATAAAAATAAAATCAACGGAAACATACATGTACTTGGGAACAAACTTTAACTGCTCTATTATACTAGGCTAAGAAATACAATCTTCAAGGAGCGTTTATTTGAAACCCATTCGTGCCATACCTCACATATTTGTGACTTTTTAACATGATCATGTCATACGTATGTGATAAGTACTGATCAACAAATAAATTAGCACAACCCGACAGCTCCTATATAATTTTCCCCTAAAAAAATGATAAACTTTGCAAAATAAAATTGATAAATGAATGAACCACAAGATACAGTGTACAACAGTAATATCTTACATCTGAGTTGTGCGACCGTGATCTACTAGGATGGGGTTTGATGGCGATGCCTGTTTTATGCTGTTCAGAGTCGGACTGGAGCTAGATCAATGTTGGAATTAATAGACACTGATGAAGAAAATGTTTCTATGCATTATAAATAAGGCATGTGATAGTGTACAAAGAAACAGTTTGTAGAATGCTGTGTAGGACTTTTGTATACCAAAGAAGTTATGACCAGAGTATTTATGGAAGACATTCATAATATTGTAAGATATAAAGACAGAAAGTCCTATCTACAAATAACATTTGGATTAAAGCAAAGAGATGCTGTGTCCACACTTTAATTTAACTTGTGCCTAAAGACGATTATAAGGAAGGTGAAAGAATGATCGTAGTAGATGAGAAATGGAACTGAATATCAACTGTGATACCATCTCATAAGGAAATTAGCAAAGCTATCTGAAGAAAGGAAAGGCTTCAAGTCCAGATGATATCCCAGCAGAAGTTATTAAGACCAATACAAATACATCAATAGAATTGCTACACAGATTATTCAGTAAAGTGGGAGACTAAAAAAATACCAGCAGACTTGAAGGAAGGATATCTTGTGAAACTGCCCAAAAAAAGGTGATATGCAGGAGTGTGAAATCCATAGAGGAATTATGTTGCTGTCAGTTCCTGAACAAAAAATAATATTAAGTAGGATTATTTTAGAAAGACTAAAAGATGCTATTGATAAAATACTAAAAGATGAACAGGTAAGTTTTCAGCCAAACAGATCCTGCACTGATCAGCTGGCAGGATCCCACAGAAAATTATTAACTTAGTAAAAGCAACATATAAAGATGAAATGTTGAGTTCTTCATTAGGAAAAGCTAACAGATACATTTGAAATAAGAACAGGTATGTGACACGGATGTCTTTTGTCACCTCTCTTTTTTTCTACTGGCAACAGACTAAATTATGAAGACAGCAACCGCTAATTCCAGGAATGGAATTCAGTGGACCCCTACTAAACAGCCTGATGATATGGATTTTTCAGATGATATTTCTCTTCTATCCCACTCAAGGAATTATCTGCAAGATAAATTAAATATAACTGATTCGAGATCACAGCAGCTAGGTTTAAAAACAGATAAGGGAGAGACAAAGAAAATGAGAATAAACCAGGCACACAGTAATTGGTTTTCTCTTGATGGTATCCCACTCCAAGACTGGAGTCATACAACTATTTGGGCAGTAATCTACATAAAGATGGGGGAACTCATAGAGATATTTAAATACAAAAACAAAAGAGCTTTCACAGCACTAGTAAATCTATGGAAGTCGAGGGGAAAAAAATATTAAATTAACTAACATGAAACAAACTTGTTAATTCCAATGTCAAATCTGTAATGCTGTAGGAAGCAGAAACAAGTGGAAACACGGAGAACTAAAACAATCACTAATAAACTACAAACATTCACTAATTAGTGCCTGCTCAGATTATAAGAAATTAAATGGTATGACAGAATCATTAATGCTAAGCTTTGGGAGAGAACTAAACATGTTCCAGTGAACCACGAGGTGTAGGAAAGACACAGGCATTGGATAGGACACATGCTGAGAAAACCTGAGAACAATATAACTAGAATGTCTTTGCTCTGGAATCCAGAAGGGCAGAAATATAAAGGCAGACCAAAAAACACAAGGAGAAAGGAGCCGGAGAGTGAAGAAAAAAAATACCAGGGGAGGACATGTAGTGAGCTGCATGCAATAGCGAAGGACAGAATAACTTGGCGTGAGCTGGTTGAGTGCCTATACTCCACTGGGGGTTAGAAGGCAGAAGAAGAATACCAGAAACTATAATACGTGGCTATGCAGACAACAAAAACAAAGATGGAGATGGACTGGACATGTCCTCAGAATGAAGGAGAGACGGCCGAGAGAGACATGCAATAGACCTACAAGGACAATGAGGAAGAGGCAGGCCCAGAGGCACTTGGAGGTGAACTTTTGAGGCTGAACTCAAGGTTATGCAAAGGACAAAATTGGAGATAGAAAGGATGGCTCAGGATCGAATTGAGTGGCAACAGTCTGTCTCTGCCTTATGTGCCTCTGGGCGCGATGAGGATTGATTGATTGATGCAGATGACATTAGTCGAAGAACATGAATTAGAAACAGTAAAAGCAACCACTTATATAGGATAAGCTCAAAAAATGAAATCAGTTATCAATCAGGAAAAGACAGATTACATGACAATAAAAAGACATTGCATAACTGTGTACATTAAACATGACCATGTCATAATCATGTGACACGTGTGTACATTAAACATGACCATGTCATAATCATGTGACACGTGTGTACATTAAACATGACCATGTCATAATCATGTGACACGTGTGTACATTAAACATGACCATGTCATAATCATGTGACACGTTTGTACATTAAACATGACCATGTCATAATCATGTGACACGTGTGTACATAAAACATGACCATGTCATAATCATGTGACATGTACTGACCAACAGATAAATAAACACAACCCCACAGCTTCCATACAATTGACCCCTAATCAGTTAGGAACAACAGCAAAATAAAACAAAATTTATTGAATGAGGGAATCAAAAGATACAGTGTACAATAGTAACATCTTACATCTGAGTTGTGCGACCGTGATCTGGTAGGATAGGGTTTGATGGCGATGCCTGTTTTATGCTGTTCAGAGTCGGACTGGAGCTAGATCAATGTTGGAATTAATAGGTATAGATAAAGAAATTGTTTCTACGGATTTCAGTGTACATAGAAACAGTTTGTAGAATGCTTTGCACGACTTTGGAATATCAAAAACCTTATATAGTAACATTTAAAAACAAAAAGTCCCTTCTTCAGATAAGATATGGATTAATGCAAGGTGTTGCCCTGTTGACCTCTTTTCCACTTATAAGAACTTCTGCTGTGCAGATGACATTAGTTGGGGAAACACCCCCCCCCCCCCTCCCCCCCCCAAAAGAGAAATAATTAAAGAAAAAATTACCTACTTAAAGGAAGCTAAAAAAAATAAGACTAGTCATCAATCAAAATAAGTCAGAATACACGGTAACAGCAAGACAGGAAAAGGATACAAACTCCGCCCAAGCAGAAACAGATAATATGAAAACTGAATGAATGTAAACATTCAACTTCTTGGGTACAAACTTCAAGTGCTCTAACATACTAGGAGAAAAACAACTTAAAATACAAAGTGCTCTAACATACTAGGAGAAAAACAACTTGAAATACAATCAAGAAATAAAGTATGCTATGCCTATACATGTGCTAAAATCAAATGTTCTATCTTGTAACACTGAGATCATAAAATATAAAACAATGAAAAGACCAGCTGTCTTATATGGCTCTGAATCCTGGAAGTCAACCAAAAGAGATAAAGCTTTAGTACAACTTTTTTGAAAAAAGTCTTAGGGCCGATCTTTGGACACATCAAAGATGGAAATAGCAGGAAATGAGTAAGAAGCAACAGTGAATTTCATAATCTGTTTAAATCACCACCGACCTCTAGCACCATAAGGGCTAACAGACTTAAATAGCTGGGGCATATTGACTGATGGAAGATGACAGAGTCAAAAACTATGTACATATAAGGGAGCTGAATGGTCGCTGACTACGAGGCAGACCAAAAAGCCTGTGGACAGATAATTTCTAAGCAAACCTACAAAGAATTGCAGTCACCAACTGGAAAGAGATGGCTAATCACAGAGATGAAGGGAGTTGGGTGATATCTGCAGCAATGAATCTCAAAGGTCAGAATGCTGAAAAAAGAAGATTAAAAAAACAACAACAACCCGATATCTTAGAACGATTCTGACAAAAAAATATACTAGAGCAAAATAAAACAGATGTAGAAGTGCTGCAGCAACAGAGAAGTAAAGGCAACCAGCTGATCAATTTACCAAGTGCTGATTGTTTTTTTAAACAAAATATGAGTCTGGCACCACATACATAGGGTACTTTATATTGTATTTAATGTTTTTATAGTATTCTGCTCCATTTGTCTTTTTTGACCATATCCCTACAGCTTCGTCAACCCCCCCCCCCCCCCCCCCCCCCCCCGCAATAAAATATTAACACAGCCAAAAAAAAAACAACATTATAAATGGATTCATTTTCTCCTTCAGCATCTACCCTTAAAATGGTTGTGTTGTGGTTTACAGCTAAGCCGCAATATGTATATATGAATGAATCAAGAGATATAGTATGTACTAGTAATATCTTACATCTGAGTTGTGTGGCCATGGTCTGCTAGGATGGAGTTTGATGGTGACGGCTGTTTTAAGCTGTTCAGTGATGGACTGGCGCTGACTGACCCAAAGTCCAAGCGGAGGCTCTGCCGGATTTCTACTATATGGGGAAGTAAAAAAGATAAGTTCAAATAGTATACATAACACACACCCATCAATGTTAACATTCACAAACATAGGTCAGGAAGAGACTATGGGTTTAACAGGGGATACACTAAAGCGGACTGACCCAAAGTCCCAGTAAAGGTTCTGCAGGATTTCTGCTATGTGGGAAGTGAACTAAAAAAAGGTAAAAAATTCAAATATTATTTCATACCATGAGCCAATTAATGTTAAAGTTTATAAACACATATAATAGAGATTTGGGAATCAGTTTAACAGGGGATATACCAAGGTACCAGGGATATACCACGGTACAAAGAAAGTAAAGAGAAGTACAAGGGATATACCACGGTACAAGAGATATACCATGGCAAAAGAAAACAGGTTAGTTAGTTAGTTGGGTTATCATCATTGCCCTCCGGATATGTCCATAGGTGCTCAGTATGAACCCCAACGTCCGATGGCTAATAGTACCAGTTCTATGTTGATTAACAAGTCTTCTGGTGTGTCTGGTGTGCGTCTCGTTTTTTGCTATGCTGATAAAAGCTGAAAACAAATGATGAGTGTCTACAGCAGTGGGAAATGAAAACAAAGCTGATGAATTAACTATCAGAGTCGCATTAAGAAACAGGACACATATGAACACTATACTAGAATAATAATTGAAAAACAGCCCAACAATATGTAGGCAGTGACACTAGTGGGGGAAATTATATCAAAAGATATGTAGGATGTAATCTGTCACACTGTGCAAACAAAGCAACAAACTGAAAGTGCTGGGCAATCCAGTGTGGCCTACCTTCTATAGAATATATTAGCCGACCGACTTAGACTAGAAATAAAAAATCTAACATTTAGGTACAGGCTATTAAAGAAACAAAAACATGTATTCTTCCTCTTCTACCTTTTATTTCCCAAATGAAGTATAGTTCTCAATCAGCTCACATCAAATCCTAGCTGACTTGATGATGATTTATTTGATTTTTGTCTTATATCAATCATATTACTAGTGTGGGTTCCAGGGCCCCATTTTGTGGGGCGAGTGTGTGGAAGGAGGGAATACAAGCATGTTGCAAAACAGTTTCTAATTAGGGACTTTTACTATAAAGTCGAAGAACTTCTTAATACTTGGGGAGCATCTTTACAGACAATGGTAGACTAGACATAGAGATAGAAACAAGAATCCAGCAACCCAACGTCAACTTAACCCAGTACTGAAACGCTCGGCTATCCCAAACAAAGAACAAACAAAAAACAAAACAAAAATTTAAAATGCAATCTTTACACTAACTTAAGGTTACCAGTGTTAGACCTAAACATTAAATCTCTCCCCCCCCCCCCCCCCCCCCCCAAAAAAAAAAAAAAATTAGGACAAAACTAATCCCCTGTAAAATGTGAGGTTTAAGAAAAACCACAAACAAAAACAGAAGAGAATGTGTGACAAAGGAAGAAGTTAGAGAAACTATTAAGACAATACCTATCATTAAACTTCTTGAGAAGAAAAAAAACACTGAAATGGTTCGGCGACCCAATGAGAACAAACTAAACAATGCTGGCAGTGAGAGTGCACAACATGTAAATGGAATCAAGACGTAGAGGGAGACCTAGGAGAAGATGGAGTCACTGACAACATAAGACTTCACAACATATGAAGCAAATGAGCAAGCACTGGCTCGACCACCAAAACATCTGCAAAACTGTGACACAAAAACTGCAGCACAAAACAGACACTGACAAAAGAAGAAGAATCAGGTAATTACAGTTCCAGCTTCATAGCAAATGGGGCACCCCATAGCTGCTCTGTTTCTGTGTCACTTAAAACCCACACGGAACATCCTTCACTGTCTCTTGTGAAACAACTGACACAGACTGCTGTCTCAGCAAAGCTAATAGCATATACACATATTAAATGCATAAGGCAGCCATCAGAAGTGCCAATACAGTCTGGCATCAGAAATACAGTTTAACGTCAACAGACGCAACAGTTGCAACAGGTCAGTAGTTCCACATGCAAATAATCGGGTGAAGCACCACCAGTTCTCTGGCAACAGGCCACTCCTCCTTTTCTAAATCCACAGTTTACAACAAAAGCTCCATTGGGTACAGTCAAAAAAGCATTCCAAAAGAAATCTGCACCTCAGTCTCGCACAATGCACTTAAATCAGTATGTGGGCAATGGAACTATATCCTTTCAGTTTGCATATGGAGGAAATTGCAACAGCATATCAGAAGCAACCCCAAAAATTTACGCTATAGTTGTGATCAATATCATGCCCGCTGCCTTTACCTCTCTATAAATTTTCTTACCCATTTTAAGCCGTGTTTACTAAGAAACTCTGGTAGAGTCTAGAAGTGCACGAACAACCAGAGCTTTCCACCGGAGCTTACAGCCGGTGAACGCAAAGAAGAAGAAGAAAAGAAAGAAGGAGATGAACAGAGGCAAGTAAGATCTGCAGCACTGAACACCAAGACTTGGAATACTGAGGGAAATTAAGAAGCGAAAAGGTCAACATAGAACAGGAAATATAACAATAGAAGAAAATATGGACACAAAGAGCTACTGCAGAATGAAATAAAAAAAGAGGAATTATAAAGGGAGGAAAAGTTAAAAATTAAATACATTAAAAACAAATTAGATAAAAGTATGCTGAACATTGATCCCTAAAGGCTAAGAACACAAGTTATGAATGAGGCGATTTTCCAAAAAGAGAAAGCTAGTTTGATCCCCCCCTACCCCACTCAAACAAGATTTTTTGGTAGTGGTAACAGAGACTTTGATTTCACCTTGGTGGTCAAACATATAAAAATGGAAGGATATTGGTTTGAGGGCTACATTATGGATATCCATAAGATGTTAACAGAAACTTCTTACAGGTTTCCCAAAAATATGCATTTTGATGATGACAGCATACATTAGGTTTTAAGATTTACACGTAAATGTTTCTCTGACCAGAAGTAAACTTTTCAGGACATTGACTAAGGAGGTTTGGATCACAAATGAACATGTTTTGCATCTAGTGGGGCATTTAGAACCATGTTTTGCATGTAGTGGGGCATTTAGAACCATGTATTGCATCTAGTGGGGCATTTAGAACCATGTTTTGCATCTAGTTGGGCATTTAAAACTATTTTTTGCATCTAGTGGGGCGTTTAGATGTTTTGCATATAGTGTAGCATTTAGAACCATGTTTTGCATCTAGCTTAGCAAGTGAACAAATGTTTGGTATCTGGAACCATGTTTTGCATCTAGTTTGGCAACTGAAACCATGTTTTGCATCTAGTGCTGCATTTAGAACCACAACTGTATGTAATTAGCCTCTGTAGTTTGTAAGCATAGATGAAGTACTGCATGTTATATCTTTTACATTACTGTGAACACATGCTACAGATACTCTATCTGGCAAGACAATCTAACCATCAACACTGTATTGTCTTCTTCTTCTTCTTACATTCACCAGGAAAAAATTGTCTATATCAGCAGTTTTGTCTCTCGTATAAATTTCAGTGATTTCAGTTCGTTCAGTGGTCCATAGAGTTAAAGCTCCACGGTTGTACTTTTTGGCCAACAGGTTTGCCTTAATGTGAGTATATGTTCTGCTATATAGGGCACCTTTCCACTGGTGAACATGACTGATACAGCTATCTTGAATTCAGAGTACATGTGGTTATGTAATCTGCTGTGCCCTGTTCTGAGGCAAAGGATAATGACTTGTTCTTATCTCGCAAAAATAAAATAGCCGTCTTGTGTTGGGGCTTGCTGATTGATTTAATGATCCTTTTCTTTTCGTTGTATGTAATTGGTACATCAGGCAGCACATTTGGCGCACCATCCCTTGCTAACTGATCAGCTTTCTGATTTCCAAGCTCTCCAGAATGGGACGGTCTCCACTGCATTTTTGACTCTATGCTGACAGTTGAGTTGTGTAAGCATGTGTTTGCAATTCTAGGAGTTTCTCAGACTGCAGTTCTTTTAAAGTACGGATTTTGCCTCTGTTAGCACTGCCATAGACTGTGAGCCAAGGTTGGTATTTAGCAATTTCTCTGTTGCTATCTTGATAGCCTGGGTTTCTGCATACGGTTACAGCAGTAACTCCAGATTGGCACAGCAGACCTATCCCTACTACTATCTGGCAATTCTGTGTATACTCCCGCACCAGCATGGTATTGTTCTGACAGTACTACTACATACAGATGCTTTCTTTCATTGGGATTATGATTTGTTATTATCCTGCTTAGTCTTCAACAAATATTTTACGGCTGAAAATTATTTTACAAAAACAAAAGATGTACTAATGCCAGGATATAAAAACAAATGACTGTTTGTATGTTTTAATCTGACTGTAGAAATCAGCCCAAGGGGTGACACTGCAATCATTCAGTCAGCCACACGTAAATGAAACCATCCTTACGTAAGCAATTCCAAAATGTACATGACAAACAAAACGAGACAGGGTGAGCTAAAAGTCTGGATTCTAATAGTCATTCTGACCGGTTTTCCAAATCTGATAGCTTGCAAAACAGTTATCATAAACCTAGGCAATGGCTGCGGGTCAAAACAAGACACTCACACAGAGGAAAGAAAAGGGTGACAATTGAAATGTTTCGTCAATTTGTGAAGACGCGATGAAAAATTGACCACCGCGAAATGTCCTTTTTAAATCGTTTTATCAATCGCGAAAACAACATTTACAGACATAACTGAAACCAGCAGAAGGAAAAGCAACAAACGACGTGACTCATGTGTCCGAAAATAGTGAACATATAGGAGACCCAAAGATGAGAATGAGAGAAGTGAGAACCCACTCTACACACTACCTTGATCGCTAGAATTTGAAGCCGCCAACTTTTAGTGACTCTCGCTCAGTGTCAACTCGCGAGAATACTGACCCCTGACCTTCTTACAAAAGAATGTTCACTAAAAATAAAGGATAAATAACTCCGGAATACTTCAGGGAAAGCCGCCCTGGTGTAGCGGCTAGATGTTCGCTTGCAGATCTG